TTACATTTTTGCCACAAATGTGGCAAAACTTCTAGGTGTCTTTCAGTTATCCTGTATAGTTTTTAGTAACTAGTCCTCTTCATGATAATCCTGATGAGCCAGGTATCTAAAGCAAGTCTGCCATGTCACTTGCAGGCAATACAGCGTTGGTTTTGAACTGGTCACCGTCTCAACAGTGGGAGATCCTGGTTCCTATGGCTTTCAGAAAAAAAGCAGTGGTGACTACAGGTAACACTTAAAGAAGTCTGTATAGAGGTTTGAAACATACTTTAGATCTCTTTTCTAACAGGTAGTTTTCTTTATCATAGGTGTGGATTTTGCTACTTGGAGGTGGAGAACACTTTTGCTGGAGTTTACAACATTATCCCCACCACATTCCTGCCTCAACAAGAGGGGCCTTTTTTCTTAGATTTTAACAGTACTACTCCTCTTAAGGTGTCACAGCTTCAGTGAGGAAACAGAACTGTGCAGTGCTGTTTAAGGAGATGGTTTTGACCTGTCCTACAGCCTGAGAACAGGTGAAGAACCCTTATTACACCTGCACGAAAGAGAATTACTTCCTGAGTTACAGCCAAAAGCATGGAAGGACAGATTGCCAGGTAATTGTGGCCGGCAGTTAGCTGTGGATTTGCTGCTATGGTCCAGGAGTGAGCACTGTTCAACAGGCTTGGGAATAGGCTAAAATGCATATATTCAAATGAACCAGCAGAAGAAGAACTCAATTTATTGCAGTTTTTCCACACTTTGAATCAAAGTCTAGTGAGCTACAAGAAAAACTAATATTGAAATTCCCTCCTCCCCACATACAGGGTATATGGGCTAAAGATTCTATTCTTAAAAGTAAACATATAAGAAAAAAATATTCTTGTGTATTCTGCTTATTCAGTCTCAGGACCAAATAGCTTTTATTACATATTTGTGCTGCTATCCATGTTTTCAGCACGGAAGTGGTTCTCCCATCTAAATGTAAATGTACTACTGCTGAGCCAGCAGTATTCCATGTGTCATCTTCTCTGGAATATGGATATAGGAGTACAGGAAAAGGAAGGTTCCAGCTTTAGCTATTTCTAAAAGCACAGCAATTGCTTTGCTCATGTTATGTGTACCTTGAGAGCTGTTATTTCATATCTGTATGACTTTAGTACATAATACAGCAGGAGGTTCTGTGGCTTTCTTCCTGCCATCTGCCAGAGCTAGGTTGATCCTGATGAGCAGGAAGGAGAGGAGGTTATCCAGCATAGTGACCAGGCAGTGCAGCACAGCCTTCCCTGAGCAGCTGTGAAAGGTTTTCATCTCAAGATCCCCTGTAAGATTCACTGTATCTGCTGAGGGTACTCTCAGTCACTGGTGCACCATCATCAACTCAGCAAATATTTTTTCATCACTTTTGTAAGTAGGTGTCCTGTAGGGAAGGATCATTTAGACCTTTCTCCCAATACACCACAGCTGCAAGGAATGCACTTGCTGATTCCATTATGCAAGACGTCTTTGAAAAGACACTTTTTCCCTTTTAAGTTGAAACCAGTGAAGGAGTTGAGCACAGGGCCAGTGTTATCAATAGAAGCAGGGTCAGAGTTCTGAAGAAAATAGTGGAGGTGGGATTAATGCAGAACAAGTTATTTTTTTAGAAGACTCCCCACCACATGTTCTTCCTCTAGATCTGTATACATTTTATCTGAAGAGGATTCAAGATGAGAAGTTTTTATTTAATACCAACTGCCTCACAGATCCTGAAATTGATTAAATTTTGTCACTTTTACAAAATTTACAATATTTCACAATGGGGAGAGAGGGTATTTTTAAAAACAGCCATGGAAATTTTGCTGCCATTCACACTGGTTTGACAGTTTTCCAAGCAAAAAGGCAGAATTTAAATCTTGCTTTAGGTTACAGGTATCACTTGGCCATTGGGAAACTGAACACATATTCTACTGCAGCACCAGAAATAGCTGTGGGCTAAAATTATTCCCACAGAAATCTGCTATTAGTCCTCTCCAGAAAGGAAAAGAACCTTTTGTTTCATTTCCTTCATCAGAACAGCTGCTTCACAAGTGTCTGGCACTGAAAGGGCAGGGATAGCTCCTGCCTTGGAGAACACTTGCCTTGCTGACTGCAGTTCTCTCAGAGGCCATCTGGGCTGGGGAATTCGTGACAAGTTTGTCACAGAGTGACTTACCTTCTTTTGCAGGGAAGTTTCTGATGGTTATTGCAATAAATCTACAGAAGGAGCAGCATGGGTGCAAGCTAAGAATAAAGCAGATTAAGTTCTTTGTGGTTATGGAGTATGTGCCAAGGACTGCTCCACCCCTAGAATATGAAAGTTTCATTCAACTCCCATTTTCCCTACAGGTTTCTAAGTTTTTAGCTGAGGCTAAACCAGAGTAGCAGTGGAATCCTCCATGTATCCCATCACCTCTAGAGTTGGAGGTAGTGAGGAAGTCTCAGCTGAGCATCTTTTTGGCAGTATGAAAGGCAGATGCCAGAAGTGCCAGCTTTCAGCACCAAATTCTTGCACATTCTCTGCTGTTTGAGATCAAGCTGGTAGACTTGCCTACAGGAAAATCTGTTGTTGTTCTTCAGTAGCTGGTTTCTATCCGGCAGGAAGGAGTTTTTCTTTCTCTTTCCCCCTGAGCACAAGTTAGTGCCAAAGCTTATGCTGCATGAAATGAGAGCATAAGGCTCAGCTTCCGTACTGTGCAGAACTTAAACTGAACTGAAAAGTAAGAAATGCACCCACTTTCCTAATGCCAGGCAAAGACATTAAGGCCAAAGGATCCTGTCCCACCAGGATATGCCAATATTTCTTACACATCTGGAACAGTGAGTGGATTGGGCTCGTCCCCATTAATGCACAGGACTTCAGTTTAGTGTCAATCTTATCTATATAAAGCAAAGTCTATTCAAATATTGCACCTGCATAGGGTACTGGAATGCCATCACTGTGCATCTCCCTTCAGATACAGGACAGAACACTCAGGTGAAGTATTTAAGAGGTACTACAAAATACCCATATAAACTGCAGCCTAGGGATTCTGGTTATGGCAAATTAATTTTACAATAAAATTTTCTTGCCCTTTTTTCTTAAGAAAAAACATTGATGTAAGCATTTAGGATTTACTTTAGTGTTTTCTGTCAAATATATACTTTTATGTATTTTTCACAAGTAAGTCTGGAAAAATTATTGCAAAGTGAACTGATCCTTAAATTTTAACATGACCTCAGGCCACTAAGTTAAGCTTTACTTTCCCCTGTACTATTTAGCATTTTTTGAGCCATATGACAGAGAACATAGTTGGTTCTGTTTGTTTTGTTAGGAAGATACAGGTTAGCCCTTGGTTGATCCAATCCCTCAGTTCCCAAAGATTCAGTAAGACACAGACCATGGATGAATGGTATCGACAGCTTCCATCCCAACTGCCCCACACTGTGAGTCTGAGCTCAGTCCTGGTCTCCTGCTGCAAGCTTCATGTAACTATTTTGTACAGTAATTATGCATTTAGCCACACAGTCGCTGCAGCCTTTGAACAGCCACCTATTTAGAGTTAAGTTTGTGTGTACTTACAGTAGAGGTTTTCATTGCTTCATCTAAAAGGACACTGAAATTGTTTGATAATACCAAAGAGAAGTAGAACTCCTAGGTTAACATTTGCTTTATACATTCTCACATCAGGGCAGATGAAGCAATCATGTATACTTTGATACACCAGAGGCTTATTTTTATACCCATGAAGGCAGCTACCATCATGTTACCCTTCAGAATCCATGAAGAGCTTAAGTAAAAAGTAACTGGAGAAAGCTTGTTCATTTGCTTGTACTCCATAGCAATGTATGTTCATTTAAGTCTGTCATATTTATAATTGTGGCTTTTATGAAGTTTAAAATAAAATGAGTTTTCCATTAATTTATTAGACACACAGTTGTGCCTGTTTGCTTGCACATTTGAAGGGAGATTTACCTGCCAAGTCTGGGGCTCACCAAGGAGGAAGGCTGCACCATGATCTTTCACCAACTCTTGCAGCAGGGTGATAGAACAGGAAGGGCAGAGGGGGTTCCACACTCTTTCAAACTTCCAGATCAATGGTTTTACCCAGCTGGGATCTGAACCCAATCAGGACATAGGCAAGGCAGCACATACACAAAATTAATTCATTGTGCCCAAGTGTGGGAAGCTTGGGTTTCCAGTCCCAACTAGCAAGACGAGGAGAAATTTGATAACAAGAGAGGTTAAAAAATAAAATTAAAAAAAAAAAATCATCAAAACAACCATTCAAAGAACCCAGGAAAATGTAACAGGTGTTGACTGGGAGGTCTGCAAAAGTGAGATTCAACCACAACAACCTCTGCTAGTTTTCTAACTGAATGGAGCACAGACAACAGCTCAGCTATGACAGTTTAAGTAAAAACACTTAATACAATGTGGCACTCCTGTACTGCTTTTCATATTTAATACTGTCTATCCCAGCTTTTTACTAAGTAATGATCACATCAGAAGTTGGACCCAGACTTCTTTCCTAAGCATTTTTTGTGCTTGGAACTGCTGGCAGTGAAAGATTTCAGCCTTAAGGTCTTCAGAAGATGTAAACACAAATGTCTAACACAGTTACAGCTTAACAGCTATAATGTGAGGAATCTATTTTTCTATGAAAACAGGATTCCTTGCCTCCAATTCTGCATGGCTTTACAGCCAATTTCAGCAGCATTAAGTACAGAGGTCTTATGTAACAGAATACCTCCCTCCTCCTGCACTAAGGAGCTTTTGGAGAGCCTGACTGAAGCTCTGGTCTTGTGGCACAGTTCAGAATAAAATGTGAGCCACGTATGCAGGGATTTGGGAGGCCGGAAAAAGGCACCACTTGCCCACGTACCTCAATGGATTCTAACACCAGTGTGATCTCAGCCTGCAGTCTTCAGCTGGAAGTGGATATTTGTAGACTAAACTTGCTGTGGGAGAAGATTGGTTCCCAGCATTTGAGATAAACGTCACTTGCAGAGACTCAAAATGTGGAAAACAAAAATGTTTACTGTAGTGTGAAGAATTTTACATTAACTTTGAGAATAGATACACAAGCTGTGGCAGGGATGAAATACAACAGGACTGCAAAAACAGAATAGAAAATACTTTGGGCAATACTAAGATTCCCATCAAATCAACAATATAAATTGACATTTTAGAGAAAATGGTGCTTTCAGAAATGCTTAGTCACCAAAACTGAAGAGTCCTAGGATTTTTACTACCACTTATTAGCATAATTATCAGACACTACTACTGCCTAACAGCTGCTGGCAAAACATGCCCTGTGCCCTTTCTAGTTTTATTGAACATTTTGTCTAGGGCATACTAAAATCCCAAGTCCCTTTGACAGTTATAAACCCCCACACAGTACAACCTACAGAGAAGCTTAAGAACACATTGTCAATCTACACTGGCAATTCCTTTTCTTCATGCATATTTCAAGGGCAAACCCCTTATCATAATCATCCTGAAAACATCTATGACTCCCGTTTTTGAGGGGAAAAAAAACAAAACCAAAAAACACTTAAAGTGCTGAAAAATAATTCTTCACTTCTCAGGGAAGCAGAAGGGCAAGGGGCCAATCAACTCTTTTTGGTCACTGGAATCACCTGCAGAGTCCAAGCCAGACTCAGGAAGGTGTCTAGAAAGGGCCTCCCACTGCTGGGCATTACCATCCCCTTCCTGTCATCCATCTGTTTTATAGGCTTTTAGAGGCATGACTCATTTTATTTTCTGTGAGCACCAAGGGAAGAGTGAAGGCTTTCAGACCCCCCACATGCAACAGCTTTCCTGTATACAAAATATTTCTACAATTTCAGCATAATAAAGACCAATACAGATGTTTAAAGATTATGCCACTTGTACTCAAGAGACTGGTTGTATCTAAAGAGCATTTCATTCTACAAAACCGAAGCCAAACCACTCTCTGCAAAAGTCTGGCTTGAATTTCAGACCCCTGACTGGCATGAATTTACACGGGAACATTACTAGTTATTGCTTCAGCCAGGCTGCTACAAAACAATTTACAAAGTCTGTGAAATATGAGCACAGCTTAAACATTTGATAACTCGTCCGGCCTACAAAGGATTCACTGAATAAAAACTTCAGCCCTCCACATCAATTAAACTCCTTAGTGCATTTTTAAATTCTCAGAGTAAACGCTTAAGATTTGGCATTTATTATTGGCACAACGTTCTTCAAACACTTAGAAGTTCATGTATAAATATTTAGACTCCCATTATTCAAGATGGGGCACGAGAAGGCCTCAGCCAATCTGGGCAGCTTTCCTGCCTGCACAAATTCCCTCCTTGATTTTCATGCACTGCAGGGAGAGCTGCTTCATTCGGTTATCCAGAGCCAGCCCCTCCGTGGAGCTGCTCCTGGTGCTGCTCCTGTTCTTGTTTCCTCTGTCGCTTGTCTTGTTCTCAGCCCCTTCTGCCCTATCCCCTGCAAAGAAAGGATTAAACTGCACGTTAAACCCAGATTTCATTCTGCAAGTTAAGCTTCAAGCAGGTGCCTCTGCAGCTTCCTTTGCCAAAGCATAGAGAAATTACAGGAGCAAGATGCTGTAATAAAACCAAGTTTGCCTTCCAAGCCATGCTCATCTTGTGCACTGCATCAGCAGATTAGTGAGAACAGCCTCAAAATGGAGCAGACAAGGACAGTGGTAATCCTCTAGTCTGAATTAGTCAGCCAGGGCTGCCAGAGCCTGCAATGAGCTCCTTCTGGCATGTTATTTTTTGTGGGGATTTTGCTTTGCTTTTTTTCCCCCTGGAAAGCAAGATTTTCAAAAAGCAGGACAGTAACTTAAATAAATGAACTCAGATTTTCCTCCAAATAAATGTACCATGAGAATCCCACTGATCACTTATTTAGAGAGAAATCTCAAACCCCTGCACTAGGGCAGAACTGGGGAAGGTTCCCAGCCAGGAGAACAGTAATTGATACATTATAGAAATCACTGTTAACTCTGAGACACAGGGTAACTCTGAGACACAGGGCCTTCCACAATTGCCTTCCCCACAGAAGCAGCCAGCAGCTCTGAGCATTCCCTGGCATATGCCTAGGGGAGCTGGGAAGGTTTTCCTGCTCCCTTTATGAGGCTGAAGAGCACTGGCCCAGGGTGTACCCAGCTGTGCATACCTCTCTCAGCTTCACACTCGGGGGAGGAGGCGCCACTGCATTCACTGCGGGGGCCCAGGACAGGGAAGATCATCCCAAACTCGGAGAGGGAGACGGGGCTGGGCAGGTCCAGGCTCCCAGGCCGTGTGGCAGGAGGAAACTGAGTGGGCACCTCACAGGGACTTGTAGGACCAGAGCTGAAGCTGGACACTGACTGAGTTTCTGAATCTTCTTCGGACACAAAGCTGCTGCCGTTGTCATCCTCAAACACTTCTGAAGCCACTGCAACGTTCAAAGAATATTCCAGTCAGTAATTCAGCCTCCCCTCCTGCACCTTCCCAGGCAAAGGCAAATTTCAGGTTTGCATCCTCCATACACACACTGCTAACCCATGGGCTGCCCCCTCTGGTTTTCTGTCCCCAGTGCAAAGCCTTGGCCTGGTTCTCCCTGGGCAGCAGCACACCTGCCAGCCAGGCCATGCAAGGCCAGCTCTGCACTAGCTACTGCTCCTCATGCCAAGGAGCTCTTGGATTTTTACCAGCCCTGCTGGCCTTGTTCATTTGTGGTTTTCAGTAGACAACTTAGGTTAGAGCCTAATTCCCCGTGTGTGCCTCTCCAGCACTATCTTGATCCCTGTGCAGCCTCCTGGTTATTTAAGGTGCTAATCAGAAAGACACAGGTCCCAAGATTTGTTTTTGAATGAGGATCACCAAACAACACCAAAATAAAACAAAACAAAACATTCTTTTTCCTGCTTGTGTTTGCTCAGATCTGAATTCTAATTAAAGCAAACCCGCTCCAAACTGTCTGTCTGGGTTAAGCTGCAGGGTCCTTATGAACAGCCAGAGGAGAAACCCATTAAAGAAAGCTCCATTTTGTGCAACACAAGGGTGTAGATTCTGCTGAAATTCAACACATTTCAGAGGCTCATTGCAGGTTGGGGACCAAAGACTTCTGCACACAAGCAGTCCCACTGGGATCAGAAGGTTCTCTACACACATCAGCCTCTACACCACACAAGAGTGTGCTGGAATCCCACTGGCCAGAAGAAGTCTCAGACACAGCAAGACATCCACAGTGACCTGAGGTTATCTCCAATTCCTCCTCCTGGTGACTCCTGCCATTGTTAGCCAGGCTCAGAATCGCCTTGGAAGAGCAGCAGGAGCAAAGCAGAGGCGTTAACAAAATGACTCAAAGGAGAAGCTTCAAAGAAGTTCTCCTGTCACCTTAGCAGCCTGGGGCTCACAGGCACCACTTGGACACAAAGGTGCCAGCAGAGGCTGTTCCTGTCATTTTTATCGCAGAGATGTTCACCCTCTTTCTGCTGGACTTCCAGATTGCAGAACTGCACTTACACGTTGCAAAATTCACCCCAAAGGCTTCAAACATAAAATGGATAACAACATTGTCCACCTTCCTGAGTCCTCTCAAGGGCATTTCATACTCAGAGACAGCTTTTCCTGTGGTTTGCATTTTGTTGTTTTGTTTTTAATGAAGTCAAATCTAAGACTGCAGCGGGGTCTTTCTTCTCACTTGCTGTGTTTCATCAATATATGGTGAGCAGTACAGATAACTTTGTGGGGAGAAAGCAATAAAAGGTTTGGCAAAAAAGGTGCTTCCAATTAGGGTCCTCTGCTTGGCAAGAAGCACTGACATCAGGCAGTCTCCACATGGCACAGCTAAACTGTAGCTTGCTTTTCACTGTTTAAATTCACTGTAATGCACAGGAGCATCTACAAGTGCCAAGAAACTCTTGCTGATGACCAAAGTGTTATCCAACTCCAGCAGACAGAAATCAAAATACAAAAGGACCTTGGTGGAAAGCTCCCCCCACATTACAATGAGAACTTAATCCAGGCTATTTTGTTATTTAATCCAGTCTGCTAGTCCTGCCCTGTCATAACCCAGTTCTGTGCTGGCACCAGACAATCTGATGTCCTTCCACTCATGTCAGACTGTGCATTCAAAGAGAGGGATGAGCCCATGCTGCTGGTCCTTACCTGCAGCCAGGGGAGGTAGCAAGTAATGTTAATGTTAACTTGCCTGGCTCTTTCTGCCCCTATATCCCAGATCCCTGAACTCCTCCAGCACAAAATACCCTAAATCTCAGTTACACCTAAGGCTTTCAGGAGACCTTCTGCATGAGGAGGGAGACTTGTGGGTATCCAAAAGAGGCAATTCCTGCCTAGGCTGGAAAGGGTCCACCTCAGGAATTAAGGGTGGCAGAAGATAAGCAGTCATACTGAAACTTGGCTGCAACAGATGTCCAGACACAGCCCTCCCTTGCTGCTGCAACTCAGGTCCCAGCTGCACAGCACTGAGTGAGAGCTCCAACACATTGTGCAGAAATTCCTGCCATTGCACAGGGTGGAGGCCAGCCCAGGCCTGCTTCCCAGCTCCCAAGGCTGTACCATGGACCTGCAAGGCCTCAGTGCCAGCACACACTGGTGTCTATGGGAAAATTGTATCTTCTGCCTTTGGGCACCAGGGTTGTGCAATCATCAACTCCTGCAATCCTGACCTAGACTTTCCCCTGTAGAAACGAAGCTGAAATACAAATTAAACTGGAATTTGTGGGACTGGGCAGCAAGAAAAAGACTTTCTGCATCAAGAAGTGGGAAAAGTGTCCAGGAAGGAGGCAAAAGTAGGCCACATGTAACGTCCATCTATCCACTTTCACCCAGAGCCAGAACAAACCAAACTCACCATACAACAGACCTTGGTGGCACATGGGGACCTTGTCCCGCAGACAGCAGAGGTTACCTTGCTTGTTTGGAGCTTCCTTGGAAGTTGTTGCTGTCCCACATTTCCCCTACAGAGCCCCTCAGCACACTGCAGCAGCATATTGCTGCTTCTTCCCTTCCCTAGCTCACAGCACACACGCTCTGCTGAAATCACACCTTGGCAAAAGACTCTGCAGCACAAAGGAGCTTATCCCTACATTCTTCCCTGTAAGCATCACACTCCTCTCTACTACTGTAGCCACAACTTCAGCTCCCTGTGCCACAGGCCCAGCACTGGAAGAAGCCCCTGATCCAGAAGGTCTGTGCCCAGACTGCCTGAATGATCTGCCACAGCCTGCAACCACCCTAGGTGAGTCACTGCCAGCAGCACCACTGGTGTAGAATTAGACACAAGCTTTGGAGTGTGTTCATTTTGCTCCTTTCATACAGCACTGTGCAAAAAACTACAGAGGTGTTGAGGGAATGGCTGGTGCACTTTAACTCATTACCCTTTCCCTTGAAAACTGCCTATTAAGGAATGTAATCAACTCCTGCAATAACAAGAAGCATCACAGCCACAGTCCCACAGCAGCCAGCACATTTCAAAACTGCAGAACACACAGAGCAGCCCTACCATCAGCATTTCCTACAATGCCCATGGGATGTTCCCAGCACAGAGTGCTCTGTACTCACTGGAGACGGTGTCTGGCTCCGGCTTACTCGCTGCCAGGTCCTCCACGGAGGCGTTGCTCCCCTCGGCACCCACGCCGCACCCTCGGGGCCCCATGGCAGTGGACCTTCTCCTCTCATGGATCTCATCTGAGATCATCTCCAGATTTTTCAAGGCAGTCTTGTACTCTCCCTTTGCCAGGGCCAGTTTGGCCTGCAGGTCATCCACTGTTTTCTTCAGTTGCTAACAAGGGAGACAGGGATTAGATGGACCTTCACCACAAACGAGGCACAGCCCACAGCTCCCTGTTACATGTCCAGGCAAGCACAAACTGGGCTGGTATCTAGGGGATGGCAGAGCTCAGAACTCAGAAGCACCCTGGCCCAAGCAGTGCCACTGGTGAAGGAGACAAGAGGAAATCAAACCATGGGAGCCAGGGGCTGGAACTGCCTCTGGAGTGTGGTCATGGCCACTGGCTAGGCACAGAGCAGGGGTCCCATTAACAGGGAGCATGCAGGATCTCTTCTTAACAGGAATGCAGCTCTCAGCCATGTCACTGCTTATCCCAGAGCCAGCTCCCAGTCTGCAGGGCACAGCAGGGCTGGGGGCCACCCCTGAGGGGGCTGAGCCTCACTCTCTGCTGAGCATCAAACCCATCACTTTGCTCACTCAACCTGCACAGCAGAAAGCAGCAAACCTCAAACCCTGACAGCTGTAACACAGCAGTTCCTGTGTCCCCAGGCACAAACACCACCCTACAGCAAGGGCGGAAGTGTTGTTGTGCATCCTACTTCCCAAAGGGGAAACACTGCTTGTGTGTCTGTAGTTCTCTCAATGCTTGCTTTTAATGCACAAAAAAACCATCTGTGCTTTTTTCTTACGGTTTACACAATCACCTTGCTTCAAGGAAGGCACTGAGCAGCTGCCATGGAGAAGCAACAGGCCCTCAAACAGTGCACCATGCCCGTGGAAAAAGGGGAATTTCTCAAAAGATGCTTCTAGGCAGCAGGGATTATTGCCTGGCAGCCAGCCTAGGGCAGGCAAGGGCTCAGCTTGATGCAGCAGCAGCTGCAGGCAGGCAAGGCAGAGGAGGAGAGAGCACCCAAACCTGCAACCTGGCAAGGAAAAAGATGCACACCAGAGTCTCTGAGGCTTACAAAATGCTGCTGAATCTCAGGCAGGAAAGGGCTCACAAAACCTTTGTGGGATATGCTTTGCACCCCAGACAAGGAATGGGAATCCTTTTCTAGCCAGGATCCAACTGACCCCGCACCCCACTGGAGCCTTCCTGCACCCATGGCCAGCAGTCCAAGGCAATGTGCTCCACTCAAACCCTGTGCCCATCCCACACAACAACAGCACTGGCCACTATCCTGCTACTGTGAGGAGCCAGGCTCCCCATTTTAGGGGCCACATGCAGCAAAAGTCACCCAAGTAGAAAGAGAGTGACTCTTGTAATTGAATTTGTCAGGCTGCCCTGCCCTCCCATCCCATCCCTAGCAGCTCCAAGAGTGGCTGTACCAGCAGGGATTAGCATCCCACACAGCACTGCCATGCCTGGCCCAGGGCCACTATGTGCTGTGCCCAAGCACTGGCCAGACATTGCTGCCCCACGCAGAATGCACTGCAGAGATGCTGAAAAGCCCTGGAAGCCTATCCAGCCAAACCCCAAATCCCTCTCATGCCAAACCCCAAATCAGAAATTCACATCTGCACGGTATTGGAGCACTGCAAGCAGGTTACTTATTCTGTTAATTGATCCAGCCAGTGAACATAAAAGAGTACCCCAAGTACAGTTAAACGGTCTGAAGCATAAAACATAGGGGGGAAAAAATGAAACCCACAACAAACAAATAAATCCCAGACACATTAAACTACAAGAAGCAAAGATAGTCAAACTGTACTCTTTTGGTTCTGACAGAGTTCAAACACTCTTATTTCATACAAGGAAACAAAGACTCTCTTAGTCTTTTATCTTTAAAATGTGCTTAGCAAATTGCTCAAGAGGTTTTGAATTGGTTTTGTATAGAAACACAACACAGTTGTCAGAGCACTTGAGATGTAATTTCAGTATTTACTGTAAGCAGTAAAGAGTTTCAGATGGATGTGAATTACATACGTACCTCTAGCTGAACATAGTACTTCGCCTTCAGTTCAAAATAAGGTCTGTGGAAAAACAAAGAAGAGTTGTTTACAATCACTGGGACTGAATGCCATGTACTGGCGTGGGAGTTGCTCTCTTTGTAGCATTAACACAGCTATGTTGTGTATCACTGCAATCCCAGGAGACCACATCCAGATGATGGAACACCTACACACGCTCTCAGTGTCTCTCTCCCTAATGCATCTATTCCTCATGGCTCCTTTGACCTAAATACAAATTGCAAACTTCTAGTTTTTGGAGTTGACGGCATAATTCCTCCAGGCCCAGAATCTGCAAGATATTTACACGTAACATCCAACTTCAGGCACAGGCATCCTTCTCTCTACCCAGCTACTTTCTGAGCCCATGGCACATGTGAATTCCTACAGAAGCTGAACCTTCTCTGTGCTCAGGTGTGGGGGGTGGAGAGGCAGTTCTTGGGTTTTCCAGTGAAGGAGAGGGTGTGAAGGGAGGTCAGAGCACCCCACACAAGGGCACAGCACCTCCCAACAGTGGCCCACCAGGCCCCTCCCTAAACTTGCTTATAAGATTGCAAGAGCACAAGGATACAAGAGGGGCAATGCAAAGCCTAGAAACCACTTTCCACCCTCAAAATTTGAAGCCCACAAGCCAATATTGTCTGATACAACTCTGAGCAGGGAAAAAAAATAATAGCCCTGTTATTTAGCAGGGCTCACTACCCTCCTCCCCTCTCAGAAGCTCTCCTGGAAAGTAGGGGAGAGATAAACAATCAGATATGGTTTTACATGAAAGTGGAAATGGGAACTACCCCTGTTGTGTTTCTACCCTGACAGCAAGGCTCTTCTGAGCTCTAAGCCCTACTGCAGCTGCATTTTGGACCGTGCACTAGAATTCAGGAGTGTGAAACTGTGGCTTTCTGATCCTATATTCTTTGAAGGGTTGAATTCACTACAGGGTCACAGAAAAAATAACTGAGTTGTGTTTCCATTAGAGTAGGTGATTTCCAGCTCTGATATTTTTAAGCACCCTCCCACCATCACCAGGAGCACACAGCCAAGTCTCAATGCTTCAATCCAGCCAAAATGCACTTCAGCCTTCCCTTAGTGGGACATCACCCTGCCAAAGGCTACACAGATGCACTGCCAGGCCAAATGAAACACTGCAGCTGAGAATTTGGCTCCAACAGATAAAGCACTCCTACAGCCCTACCCCAAAGCAATGGCAGCACACAGATCCTGACAGAGTGGTGTTGCAGGGAAACATGCACAGGGAAAGCAGTGAAACTCACTCACCTCAAATGACCTGATCTCAACCTTCCTTACCCTGGTGCCAGCTGGGAGGGAACACCCAGGCTCATTTCCTAACCTCCCACCAGCTTCCACAAGCCTTGGGAAAAGTCCCCTCTCTATCAGTGACAAGCACAAGCGTTTGCATGGTGTGAAAAAGCAATCCACACATGCCCATGTGTGTGTGCACACAAACACATCCCTGTGCACACAGGAGCAGGAATGTCTCACTGCAACATGTGAGGGAACCCCAGCCCAGCAGCACAAGGAGAGCACGAGCCTGGTGTGCAGGAGCTCACATGAGCACTCCTGCTCACTCATGGCTCACACACAGCTGGGCACCTGGTGCCAGCAGGAACCAGGGCACTGCCAGGGACACTCCCACGTCCCAGGGTCCCTTCATTCCCTGACATCCATGGCCCTGGAGCCATTGGGTCTGTAACTCAGCAGGGCAGGGAGCTGCTCTCTGGTGTCCTACAGCTGAGCCCAGGACACTGCACACACAAAGTGCTTTTCTAGTCAGTGACAGGATGAGTGAAAGGCACTTTGCCCAAGTCACCAGAGCAGAAAGTGACTTCCAAAAACCAGCTAACACAGGCAAGTTCATTATCCACAGCTCAGGGGCACTGAGCCAGAAGATCTGGTAAGTGTTAAGAACATGCAGCCGTATGCACATCCATAGATCACAAGCAAGTAAGCACCCAAAAACTAAATTAAAAGAAAACCAAAACAAAACTATCCATTAATCCTTTGCTCATCAACTTTACCCAGCAAATCATCTAAATTACTTTCCTCCAGGATGCTCCAATCTTGCTTTCAAAACAGTAATGCTTTAAGCATCTTAATCTCAACTGAAGCAAGCAGCAAATGTAAATCATTTTCTGCCCAAAAGAGTGCAGCTCATTCAGCGTGTCTGTCCACAAGTAAAAAGAGAAGATGAAATAAAGGCCAGGAAGGCCAAAGTGTTACAGCCAGTGCTGCCACACCTTGCAGGGAGGAGGTCAGAGCAGGATGCTGGTGTTAAATCCCCCCTGAAGAGCAGCTAGAGGCCAGCTACACCCTACAATACCAACAGCTGCAAATTCAGCAGCCTCATTTCCCAGTTTCTGCAGCCACTTGACAGCACTGATGTTTTCATCTCAGCTGCAATTTTCCTTTATGTGAAAATTGCGATGCTGGGAGACAACTGACCTTTCCAACATCCCCATGTAGCATAACTTCAAAGACATCCACGAGTGTTTGTGCCACCAGGCATCTTCCACATCAGTACTAGCTCAGAAGAGGCATTTCTGTACACCCTTTATTAAAGGATCTCCAAAACACCCTACCTAGATGGTTTATGCTGCAATCAGCCCTGCTGTGAGACAAAAGAATACACTGGGATCCTTCCACAGAAGTGGAAACCAGCTTGGCCTGAGGACACTGACACAAGACACCCCTCTGAGGGTGGATCCAGCAAAGAAATGAAAACTCAGAGGCACGTCACACAAGAGGCAGCTGGGAAACCAGGCTCCACACCATGATAAAAAGCTGTGTAGGACCCCACTGACAACTTAATCATGGTCTTTATTTTAAATCTTATTGCAAGGAAGGAGCTCCTGGCAGCCCAAACTGTTCTCAGCTATTGCCCTTATCCAGGGGGATCTGTCATTTAGGGATCTGATGATGGTTTTCACAGCCCCTGTGCAGTGCTAGACAAACAGCATGCAGCTCATTCTAGAAGTCACACCACTACACTGTTTCAGCAAACATGCTTGAATCTTGCTTGAGAAGTGCTAATCCTTTCCTGAATTGAGCAAACACCAATCAAAATAGATTTTTAGTTGACCGATTTCACCAAAAAGTCATTTTTAGATGGAGGGGATTAAAAGCTAAATACAGCAAGCAGATTGTTTAGACAAGCCACAGTCTGGAAATATTAGAAAAAAAAAAAAAAAGACTGTGAAATAAAAAGAGGATTAAGAATTGGCTGTAAACAGGGCCAAAATTTTCAACAGGTTCTGAGCAAAAAGCTGTTTCACTTCTCTGCAACAGAGCCAAACTGCACAGTAAATGCAGACACAATTATTAATGACATAGGCTGCTTAGCTATGCCCTCTGAAGGGTGTTTCCTTCCCCAAGAACAGCTCTCACACAGCTTTGCCATGGCAGCAGGAGGAAGTAAACAAGCCTCGTGTTCAGCACCTTACACCCGTGCAGTCTTGCACCTTTCAGCTTTCTGCCACTTGCTTTGTTGCTCTCCTAACTAAAAATAAGAACTGTGAACAATCCTAGGCTGTGAAACATCCCCACAGAGCTCTGCAGACAGCACTAGTGTGGATCCCATGCGCCTGTTCCTCAAATCACACACCACCAAGGAGTTCAGTGCACTACAACAAGACCAGGATGCTGCTCAGAAAAGGTTTCTTTATCCCAATTAGGTGTTTCAAAAGTCCATTAAGTCAGGTGTTTCAAAAGGCACTCAGAAGGACAACAAGGACAAACACCAGTGCCAATTGTGCTGTGAGGCTGCTACACACAGAGAGGAACACAAAGAGCAATACACTTCCACAAGTCCAAAAACCCCCAAATAGGTATTTCCCCCAAAGAGTTTTCACCACTGAACTCCTCTCCAAACATAAAACATACTTGGATTTATTGATGGCTCTTTTCAGCTTCTTCTCCAGTTGTTTCATCCTTCCCATGGCAGCATTGTATTTGGCTGCAGTCTCCTTGTGAACCAGCTCACTTCTCGTTTTGGTCTGTTCCGCCTCCATGACCTTCAAGAGGGGGATAAAAAACAGGTTGAGCAGCAAGACACAGTGATCCACTTCTTATCATTCCAATTAACAGCAACTCCATAATCTCTCCTATCAGCTCATGTCAGGAAAGTGAGGGTACAGAAAAAATTACTTCCAGTGAACCTACTTAAAAGCCTTTCCCGAAAAGAGCAGCAGGTCTTCAAATACTGTAATTTATGACAAACAGTGTGTAAATTATGACAAAGGTTTTCACACAATCTCTCTTACAGGATGTTTAGAAGACCCTCAGCTTTTGGGAACATCAATTTTTTAACCCACTTAGATATTCACAAGTGAAGCAACACCAGCAGAAGTCCCCAGTCACATTCAACAGCAATGTTTGTTTTCTCCTGCTCCTCTCCCTCCCTGACTTTCCCAGCAGAGCCTGCTGGTTGCTCAGCTCCCAGCTGCAGCCCCACCACTCTGGGAAGGGCTGGACTCCAACCACAGCAGAGAGAGGACTCAAACACAGCTTGGCCTGAACAAGCAATCACTAGAAAACTGTGTCCAAGATGGCTTTTCTCTGAAAAACAGCTGACATGCCTGAAATCACAGTTTCAACACTGAAAACGCAAAGGTTCAAGCCCTGAGCTGACACTCCCACCATGCAGACAAGGAGAGTTATGCTGATGAGCAGCCCCCCATCCTCATGTATCAAGATTTCTAGAACACAACTCTGGTAAGGAGCAGCTGAGGGAGCTGGGGGTGTTCAGCCTGGAGAAAAGGAGGCTCAGGGAGACCTTACTGCTCTCTAAAACCTCCAAAAGGAGGGTGTAGCCAGGTGGGAATTGGCCTCTTCCCCCCCAATAACAAGCTACAGGGAAGAGGAAAGGGCTTCAAGTTGCTCGAGGGGAGGTTTAGATTGGATATAAGGAAATTTTTTCCACTGAAAGGGTTGTCACAAGCATTGGGAAAGTAAATGTCTCTCCATTAGCTGCACTGCTGGTATCCCACAGCCAGTAATTTTATCCAGGGTATTTTATTGCTCAAATTTGAGATGTCAGAGGTGTACTGTAAGCACTCTTTACTGCTTACAGTAAATACTGAAATTACATCTAAAACACAGAAAATGTGTTTTATTTGGTGCACTAGCAGTCAAGATCCAGGCAGGGAGGTGACTGATTTTTTTGAAGTCAGGAAAGTGGTGGCACCTTTTTGTTGGTCTGGCAATGAGGGGAAAGCAGGTGGTTTTTTTAAGCTTCCTGTTTTGCAGCTATGAAGGTATTCACGCAAAAAAATGGCAGGACTTGATTCTCTCCAGTACTGGATTTTGAAATGCCTCAGCTGTGATTCCAACTACTCCACAACTTCACATAAATTTGCTCCACCGGCTTCCCACCACCAGACTACATCTGAGCTCACATATGCAGAGAGAATATTCAAAATATCTTGATTTTAAATAACCTCACCCACAAAGCTTTAATTTTTTTTTTTAAGGTGTGCTAGTCCTCCCAACCCTGAGGCTGGACTGAACAAGGAAAAGAGATGTCCAACTCTGACTCACTGGGATCAGTGATCCTCTCAGGAAAACTGTCACATTGTCCTTTCTGATGCCCAAATGAAAGAGTGAAACTGCCAAAGCCATCAGCATCAACCTGGAGCTCTCACTGCCACACTTTTTGCTCATCTGCACACACAACTCATTATTAAAGAAAGGAATTCCTAGAGAACTTTATGAGACATAAGTTTTTCAAAGGATCTTCTGATCAGATATAAAATAATATACCCAACACCCTTCAACTTTCTCATATATATAAGGCATTCATTTTCAAAGAAAGGAGCCTTTTTTGTTGTTTTCCCCCTATCAGGCTCATAACATTCTCTGCTGCATCCTGAAAAATAAACTGCAGCCTCTTATCTCAAACAACTGTTTTAAAGTCAGCTGGTGCAGAGACTTGCCTTAGTGAAACATGTCAGACAAGGCTGGTTTTAATGTGGAAGTCTCTTAAATCAAACTGCAGTCTCCAAAGACTGCACAGAAGGTGGCTCATGGCTCATCTTCTTTCTAGTGTGGCAAGGAAACTGCAATTTAAAAACGCTGCAAGCTACAAAATAATGGAGCAACAGGAATTTGCCAATGCTCAGTTACATGTCAGTCCCTCACATCCTTTCTCAGGGCAAAATTAGCATAAACTTTGATATCTGGGATAAACCACATGATAAGTATGACCAACATCAGGGTTGTAAAGCAGGTTAAGTGCCCAGTACTGTGCTGATTTTTCAAATGTCTCATATCAAACATCACAGAAATGCTGAATCCTGCAGAACTGGGATTTGAGGATGACACATTGCAAACGCCTCAAAATATCTGACAAAACGTGGAATTTGCTACCAGCCATATACACCCACGTTCATTACCTTGTTCAGAAAGAAAGGGGGGGAAAAAGGCTATATACTTCATGCTTTTGAGAAATCAGTGATGTAACAAAATCTCTCTCTCCCCCTACAGCCTTGCTTTCCTGTGGGAATTCTGTTCTCCTGCTCACATTATCCACCCAAGTCTGCAGGGACTGCCTGTCCCCTTTTCCTGGGACAGCAGCTTGGGGTGCATGCCTGAGGCTGAGGATATTACCTGGGGCATTGTAAGGTGCCAGGATATTACCTGGGGCATTGTAAGGTGCCTCTGCAGAGATCCATCACCCACCAGAATGCATTTAAGCACTTCATTCAAACAAGAAAAAACAAGAGAGATCATCCTCCCTTTCAAACAGCCTTTAAATGGAGAAGCTGTCCATCAGGGCTGGCAGACAGAAACAAGCTGCAGATGATGCTGTCACCTCTGCAGCTGGGAAGTTCAATGTAAGACCAGCCAGCCAAACTCCTCATCTCCTTGAGAAGGCTTAGAAAAAGACAGATAGGCTTGTGTAGGAAAGAAGTACTTTTTATTAGAGCTAATAATACATTTGGTGAAAAGATTGCAGTGTCATATGGACTTGTACACAAGCTCTCAGTCACAGTTGCCACATAAGCTGGTTTGTCTAACCCAAGTGCTTCTACCACCCACCTTGCCTTGCAGATGCTCCTAAGCCAGCACAGATGCAGCAGCATCACTTAGAAAAAGGCAGAAAAAGAAGTGAGGATGACACCTCTTCAAACAAAGGCTGCTCAAGACACATCTCACCTCCTGACATTGGACCTGCCTTTCAGCTCACCCTCGGGGTCAGCAGGGGACACAGTCTGGGACAAAAACACCAGCATGGATGAACTTCCAGGATACCCACACACCCACCAGACATTCCTGTAGCCCTTGCCTGTCCCCAGCCTAGCCCAGGATCCCTGGATCACCCACCCCAGGCAGAACTCACTCTCCCAGGCAGCACAGGCTGTAAGATACAAGTAATGGGGAACAAAGCAGGCAAAAACCCCCAACACAGGGACTGATCAATTCCTCTTCTCTCCTCCCCTACTCTCTATTTCCTATCCAGCTGTCTGGAAAAGGAAGGTCAGAGTACATATTTACCATCAATAAGTCTGTACAAGTAGCCTTGTTCCACCCAAAATGTTCCCATAATCAGAAGTAAAAATGGACTCCAGGCAAAATTTCAGTAATAGTAAGAGAACAATTTTATCAGTGGAGCTGAGCAGAGCTGACCATCTAAGGCAGAGAATTACTCTGAAGGACTGCTTCTTTCACAAAACATTAAATTGATTGTTCTTCTAGGAGAAGAATTAAAAATAAGAGAGGAAAGAGACAATGCAGTATCAGTAAACAAGGAGGAGAGAATCAACAATACGACGGATCACAAAAAAAATCATTGCATTTCCAGGATAAAGTGACAGAGAGATGAGGACAAGACAAGATGTGGTTTGTTATTTTTTTCATAGACTTTTCTTCTCCCCATTTTTCCTCTAAGTTTTTTCTAGCTGCAGGAAGTCTCTCTCCTCTCTACATCATGAAAGCACCCACACATTTTACACTGACAGATGGTACTTCGCTGTGTAATATCAAAGGGAGCTTCACAAGCCAAATTAATCCAAGAGGGAGCATGCCTCCTCCCTCTTTACTCTCCCCTCATCCTCTCCTTTTTAAAATGTCTCATGATCAAGAGCCAAAACATTTCTTCTCCCTGCCAGAATTTATGAACTCAACAGATCTCAGGAAAGACTGTAAAAGCAGAACCTTTTTAAGACTGCAGATTGCATCAGCAATTAGAAATTAGCAATTTCTCTTGAAATTCATGAAGCATCTTCCTTTCTGCTCCAGCTTGTGTCAAACTAGATGTAACACATCTGTCAATACTTTCCTTTTGTACATCTTTATGAATTATTTTCAATAGGAGCATAAATGTGAAGATCTTTCTCCTCCGTCCCTCCAAAATTCAATATCCTTTGGTCCTGTCTCTTTCACAGCCCTGCTCTCTGCACCCCAAACTGCAGCATTACAATTCAAGGTACAAACAGGCTGGCAAAACTAGCAAAAACATCATCTCCAAATTTTAAAGAGACACTGCAGTTACCAAAATCCTGGTAAGCCAATGGCTAAGAGTGAACAGTACTCTTCCTCCCAAGGCAGCTTTAGAGCTCATCAAGCCTGTCTACATTTCCATTCTAATCAACAGAGAATTTATCTTTTAATGAACTTGCCCCTCTGGCCACACAAATTGCTCTCCAGACACCACTTACTGAGCAGATCATCTTTCATCATAATGGAAATTTGGCAAGCAATGGTGATACACAGCCAGGTTCCAGACATGACACCATGAGCTAAATTCCAATCTAAGTGTCATTACACCTCTCACATCTCTGGAAAAATGGACATTTAGGAACAAATCCCAGGACTTTACCCCAAAATACACATCAAGTTAAGTGCAGAAGTGGGCAAAGCAGCTGCCTGACTTGCAGGATTGCAGCACTGCCCAGTGCTTCTCTGTGGTGAACACTTAGCTCAAGCACAGACATTTGCAGGGATCAGTTGCATCTTCACAGGCAGGTATCCAGCTCCTATTTATGCTCCCAGCCTCCTTTGGAAACATAGCTCAAACTGTGAGGTGCAAAGAAATTTCTGAGTGATAGCCTATACTCCATGTACATGTTCATGCTGGATCTGCCTGTTCCATGAATAGAATAATTTTCCACACATTATGCTCCCAGCTCACCCAGGAAAAACAAAATTTCAGTAACTGCCCCATTTTGCATCAGCTGAATTGTATGATTTTCTAGATCAGTGGCTACAAAAGTCTTGTCTGCAGAAGCCCAATAGCTCATCACATTAAAAATAGTGTTAATAGCTTTTCAGACTATCAAGACAACCCTTATCTCTATTTCCTCCCAGTGAGGGTCTGGAAACAGCATTTCCTGTTTGGTATCCTGGAACCCAAGTCTTTGTCTATATCCATCAGGTCAAGTGCAAAAGTAACCTGGCAGCATTTTCACACATAGCTGTGTAAAAAATCAGTTTCTCGTTTGTTCTCTCGCCAACCCTTTTTCTTTATGCTTTCTGTTTACAGTGTTTGTCAGCCACCAAGCTGCTACAGGGCTCAGGTTTGGCTCCAGGTTTCAGACTCATTCAGTAAAGCCTGCTCCCTCTGCCTAAGAACAGCAAATAAAAACACTTGACTCTGGCCTGACATTTATTTCTACCAGGAGAGAAACAAATGAATCAGTACCCACTTCTAACATTTAGCTCAGAGGTGCTTTTCTGCACTTGAGTCCTTGCTTGTAAAAGCCTGGAGCAAGATTATTGTCTGCCCACTACAACTGTCATTTAAAAATGCACGCAAAAAAAGCTAGAAAATCCAAATAACCAGAGAGCAAAAGCTTTCTCCAAGAGCAATTTTATATGTGCCAATAGAAGATGTCTATTTCTTAACCCTCAGCCTTCACCCACAGAATCAGTTTTTTCCATGAGTGATTTCTAATGTAATTCATAGTTAATGATCTGAGTTGTCAGCAACACTGTGGCAGTCAAGGAGAACTTTTGTTCTAGAAGATTTCATTCTCTAACCTCTTTTCACCCATAGCCTGGTAGGCAATGCCAATGTTTCCTCCTCCCTGAGATCCCAATCATTCTGTTTGCCTCACTGAACACTGAGCCCTTCATTAATTGCATGCACTGAAGCCAAGGGAAGCCTTCACCCCACTCTTAGAGAAGACACAAAACCCAGTCAAGCACTCCAAACAAACTAATGCTGGGTGTGCTCAGTCAGGACTTCCAAGAGCATTTTCACCCTTCTTGGCCCTGGCCTCAGCCTTAAGACTCCACCACAGCCAACGAAAATCACAAGACAAACTTCCATGGAACTCTCCCAAAACCTGCTGCACCATGGAAAGGGGCAGATGGGTGCTTTCTGGGAACCGAGTTTGCCCAGACTATTTTAAGCACTGGGAATTGTTGCTTTCCAAGTTTTCCATTCACGGAGCCCTCAGCTGCTCTACACAGTCCCCCCAGTTCCCAGGAGACTTTACAGCTGCAGTGAGTACACCCAAGCACCCCATTTACTGCTCAGCTGTAACAGCTCAGAGGGATTATGGCTCCAACCAGCCCCCCAGCAAGGAGCTGTCCTGCAATCACTGACTGCACCCACCAACACCCCCAGCACAACTCCACCAAACACTGCCAGCAGCCGCTCTGGATCACTGGGCTTGCCCATCTCAGGTGTGCACACCTCTCACACACTGCCAGGGAACCATCAAGGGCTGGAGAAGGACACAAGGATGCCTTTGAAATAGCCAAGGGAAAGAAGAATTCATTTGTACCCTCAGGCTGCCATTGTTTCTTTCACCACCCACCCCAACACAAGTTTTTGTTCTGCCAGCTAGAGAGAGGCAGATGTGACTGCTGTCACTGTCCACCAAAGCTCAGCAGTTTAGCAGTCAGGAGCTCTAAGCAACTCCTTAAAACACTTCTGGTTTTCTCATCTATCAATTCTGAGAATCAAAAATTATCTATTTCTGGACTTAGCTCATATGGAGCAGGAATTACAGCCAGGAAAAATGACAGCTGGCACACACACACACTGCAAAGGTGGGGCTCCCCTTATAAACACAGAGGTCATCACATCTGCAAATACCAAATTATAACAGGGACAGTAACACAAACAGTACCCTGGAGTTCATTTTCTCATTGCTATATACCAGGTTTTCTATCTCTCCCCCACACACAGCAAACATCCTTTCTGTTCCCTTTTTCTTCATCAGGCAGCTGGATTTTAAAATTCACTCTGAAATAGAGGCTTTCTTTCAACTGAGAAGCTTCTGCAACAGAACAGAGCAACTGTTGCACTGAGGGCTGCAAGACAATATGAGCATTGTATGGCATGATAGCATGTTTGGAATAGCAAGCTCAGCTTCACTGGCATATTAAGTACATGCAGAACAAAGGTTTTTAACTTGGATTTTTGGTTCTTTTATGTTTAAAAAAAAGGCAGAACGGTTTATTTTAACAGAGAGAAGACAAATGACAGGAAAATTCTTCCTGATATCTGCTAGAAAGAATACTGTCTTTCTTTGTTAGTGCATCTCTTCTGTAGGTTTAAGAAGACTTTACAAAGGAGGTAAGACCTTGTCTAAATTCCAAAGTTAATTCAGGATAAAGCAGCATGCAAGCTTAAAATGCAACACACGATTTTGAGTAATTCTACATTCAAACACACATTTCTGAAGCAAAGTGACTTGTCCAATGTAGTCCATACAAAGAACAGGTTATACTAAAACTGGAACATGTCCCTGTTTTGCCAGGGTAAACACTTCCATAACACACATATTCAGGAATAGGCATCCCCACACAATTATTCTGGCACAACTCCAAATGCAGACATGCCTTAAGACATTGTTTATCCCTGTAAAATAGATGGTAATAACTTTTTAAAAATTTTCTGTAGAGAGCTACTCCACTAGTCTAGCACCACCAGGCAGAGAACTAGAGTTGTCCCAGAAGCAGCCAAGGCCCAGACCACTCAGGCTTAGGCTTCACCATTTCCGTGGCTTCATTTCCTACATGTCAGGTATCTGGACCAAAAGGAAAATCTGGTCTTTCAGAAACTGGGCCTCATACACCACAGGGGACCACAAAGCCTGGAGAAGGCAGGTGCTGGGGCAGGTTGGTGTTACCCTCTGAGTAGCGTGGTTGAGCATCTCCTGCCAGGCAGAGTCGAACTGGCGCTTGTCATCCTCCAGCAGCCGCTGCTCCGCAAGGGAAATGGTTTCCTTGGCAGCACGCAGCACTTCCGTGGCCCTCTGGAAGTCCTGAGTCGCCCTCTGAGCCTCCAGCTGAGCCTAAAGGGGAAAAAAAAAAAGTCTGGGATTAGGACAATGGAACCCTCACAGTTACATTTGGGAGATCTGTGACACAAATCCCAAGACTTTTATGAAAAGCCACACCGGTGTCACTGTTTCCCAAACTTTTATTTGAAATGATGGATTTCTCACTGCAGTAAGTCCTGCCAAAGCAGCAGTTCCCACCCAAAGAGGTCATTTGCCAAGAAGTTTAATTTGTAGCTGATGGCCTACAAATAAGCACCTGGCTGAGAGATAACACCAAATGATGCAGGTTTAATCACTGATGAACAAACCAAAAGAAAGTGAAATAGCAAACTAGTGGCATGGCAAGAATACACTGAGAACGGCACTCCCTGAGTTTAGTCAGGGTGGATTTTTATCTGATACACCATTAATCACACTGAAGAAATATTTTGGAATTATTAGCTTGCTATAAAGAATAAACAAATTCTCTGAGATGGTGATTGCTTAATTCTTTGGGTGTTTTTTTACTTTGCTATCGCTGGTACACAACTGGTACACTAAGTCCCCAGCACACAGACACAAGAACAACCAAGGGAATTTAAAAAAAATCTTTACCTGTATTTTTCTATATTACCTATTTCACAGATTTTTATTTAAAGGAATATTTTTGAGCTATTTTGCTCAGAAATACAACCCTTCCAATGTAAGCCCCACACACAATTAATTGAACATCCAGTACTGTGTAGAGAGTTCTCATTTACACTTCAATGATTTTTCAGAAATAAACTGGAATTACCCAGTACATACCTATGAAAAACATCTTTGACCAGACATAACTGACAGAACAAAATAATGAATAAAACTTTAGGTATCATGATATGCACAGAAGGAATCTGACAATCAAACGTGAGAAAGGACTTTATCTTCTTCAGTGTAGTATTCTGTACGTCAAAGTCTTATGAATAAAGGCGGAGGTTTTAGCTTGAAGAAATGGTGATCATTTGGGAAGTGGCTAAAACTTCCTGATATAAAATAAGTTGAACAACAGTGTATTTCTCCAGCAAACAGCTGGCTACACCCCCTCAATACCAGTTGCAAACACCTCCATACTTGAGACACCACAGTTATTTGTAAATGTAATAGAAAAATCCCTCCCTCCCTGCCCCATGGCAGGGGAGCGGACTCCTAATTTAAACACAAGTCTCAAAAGGAAATAAAGCGCACTAAGTTTCCCTCTCCATGTCCTGAAATAGCAGCAAGCTCTTCTTACTTCCTTTCCTCTCTCACATGGAGGTACTTCACCCCAAGGTAACCATGCAAAAATAGGAATTATGTGTCAGAGGTCCTTCACTTACAAGCTGGAGAGGGAAATAAAAATCATCACAATCAGAGCAGTAATTTCCTTCCAACCAAGGCCCCTGATGCATTTCCTTCTGAAGTGGCTGGTGACGTTTTCCACAGAGAAGTTAATCTAAATATCCCCTTTGTTGTTTTCCAGCCAGTTTACACCATATCACCCTGCCCACAGCCTTTGTGAAGAGCCAGAGCACTAAAAGAGTTAATTTCCATGCAGAACTGCACATTCCAAGGCAGCACAGATCCTTTGGGCCAAGGTTAGTGCATGCACAGCATCCTGGTACAAGTTCAATGACAACACTACCTCTTCTCCTCTCTGAAAAAAAACCCACATGTTACATCTCCTCAACACCCCAGTCACCAGCTGCCTGCTTCAAATATATTAATACATTTTATAAATTCAGAATAAGCCTAACAATAGAATGTTTTATTTAGCCACTAACTTACCTTAACCCAGCGAGCACAAAAATTCGCCAATACAAAAAAGCCTTCTGAGGATCTTTAAACAAGGCTCAACCTGGGCTTCCAAAAAAGAATACAGCAAAAAGCCTGAATACAGCAAAAAGCTTGAGTGTAGTCCTCAAAATATCTACTAAACTTTCTAAAAACTCACAACCTTTCTTTTTTCTTTCCAGTAAGTTTGACCTCGTAAAGGAATCAAATACAAATTAAAGGCCAAAAGTTTCCATAAAAGTAGTTTGAGATGGGATGTTAATAGAGGAAATAAAATGCAAGACTCCAGTGAGAACCTGCACCAAGTACTGCAGAACAATGCTGAGGATGCCTGGAGGAAGAGGACCTTTTTTTCATGTGCTTAAATGTTGATTTAAGCTTAAAAAAGACCAATTTTCATGGAAGACTCTACAAGAGGGAGCCAGGTCCCAGCAGCTTCCAGCAACAAGGCTGTGAGGCTTCTGCTGCACGAGCAGGCTTGCCCGTGTGAGAAACGAGTTACAAACACACAAAACCAGACTGGAGACCCATTCCAAGCACAGCCAGAACCTTCTCAGCAAGCAATTGCTTCGGAAACTCAGCACAGCCAGATCCCAGGGGCAATGCAAGCACAGAAGTGCACTTTTCTCACCGTAATGCATCAGCACTTGGAAGTTTCTGTTGGCACACGTACCTGGGTCAGGGAGCAAGACATCTGAGCCAGCAAAAAGCCTGCAGAGCATTAGGAGCTGAGATACTTAATCCCCATGGAAAACAGCACTTAGTGGTAGCTTGCAGTACTAGCAGCCCTTCTGATAAAGGCCTTAATGGCCAATTGACTCTAAAACAGGAAAACTGTCTCTATGATAAAAAAAAACAGAAGCCAAATTTACAATTTAGTTAGATTTCTGCTTGCACCTGGACCTGTAGGACAGTGACAGCTGGAGCTGTTAACAGGCAAGCCCACAGCTCTAGGCCCATAATCCATTCAGATTCATGCCCTCTAACTGGGTGGGTAAATGGAAAACTGAAACAAAATCACACCTGAACACTCCCTCCCAGCTGCATTTGTAGAATACTGTTCTGCAGTGGCAATTTGGAAACACTGTTTTGTTTCTGAGCAAAACAGTAGTAGTCCACATAGCAATTTAGCTCCAACAGTTATCTGAAGTCAGCCTACAGCCTTTAATTTAAGCAGCTTCCTGAAAGTCTGAGAAAGAAAAAAACAAATGCTAGGGTAAAGAATGATACATTTGTCATTAGGAAAACATCAACAGGTTTGTGGCTTTGCCAATGTGAAGAAGAATATTCAAACACTTTCTTTTGCGTTCTAATACAGTTACCCAATAATTAGCCCTCATTTAAAACTGCCTCCAGCATGTTCAAGTTGTTCTGCACCAACACCAACAGGCTGCTCTCAGTCCTAAGCCTGCAGCTCACTCCATTTGATGGAAAAGAGAGTAGCCATGTTCTTCATCTGCTTTGAAAACCACAGAGAAACCAGCAGGAGCTCACCTCTCCATCCAGCCTCCTTATATTGCATATAAACTTCACTACTTTAGACAGTGGCTGTTTCTCTCAAGACTAAAATCCAAAATTCAAATGAAAGGCTGAAAACTAGGTTGTCTTCCATCACAAACTCGTGTTTGAGTTGAGAGAGGCTTAGCCTTGGAGTAGAATGAGAGAAAATGTACTAGGGATGAGGACAAAAATTGCTGAGGGAGGCTGAAGGCAAGTAGTATGTCAACTTTCTGCCTGTCATCCATATCGCTGGTGCTTGATGGAGTCTACCCAACACAGAAGTGAGGATCTCTCTCATTATAGTCAGAAGAGCCAGTCCAGTGAAACCTCTTTTTGAAAATGAGCAAGTGCTGACACCTTGGGAACTGGGGGACCCGTGCCCCAGCTCCCACTGCCAGGGGACAGTGCTCCTTGTGGCTCATGGTCAGTGCTCTCTGCCAGGAAACTCAGCTGAGTGCCTGCACCACTGCACACCCTTCCTGCATCAGTGTAAAGTATGAAATGGGAGTCCTAAAGGAACACAATTAGGCAGCCACAGAGAATGGGGCTGAGGAGGATCCCACTGTCACAGCACATCTGTCACACGCTGTCCACACAGAGCATCAGCTCTTCCTGCCATTCTGTTTGTCCCTCCTCTGCAACTCAGTCTTGTACAAGCAACCAGCTACAAACACATCTCCCATGACAGTAAATCCCTTCCTACAACCAGGAGCACATGCAGAATTCCTCCTCTGCCCACTCAGCCCCCTCCCCACGGCCAAGAGCTCTCTTTACACCGCTCTCCACCCTGTGCTGTTCTGCACATGTGACCTCCTCTCACCAGCTCATCCATGTCCCTGATCCCCCTGGCTCTGACAGGCACAGCCCTGAACTTCCCAGCAGCTCCCAAAGACCCAGAAGTGACATGCAGTAGCAGCACTCACAGAAGCAAATCCTGCACTGTGGTATAAAATGTGTCAGCTTAGAAAATAAATTATGTAAAATTAAAGGGGTACTGGCAGGATTCATAACTGCAAGCTATTAATACATTGCTGAAAGATGCTCAGTCCTGACAAATCCCTTTTGGGGGATAAAAGCTGCATCCCCATCGGCAGTCCTCTGCTTAGCCTACACAGGGCCTTGCACAGAAGGGAACCAAGCACAACAGACAGATTTATGTTGTCAGCTAGAAATTAAAAAAGCACTAGGCCGTGGCAAGCTAACAGAAAACAAAACCAGGCACTTTTTAAATGTAGTCCTTCTGGAACTGCCAGCAACATACTGACATCTGCTTGTCCACTTTCAAAGCAGAAAAGTGTGCACTCTTTAATTATGAAATACAATTTTCTGATTAGTCTACATTAGCTTCTATTCACCCAAACCCTCTTTGTAGTCAAGATCTTGCCCAGTTGCTAATAGAAGATTTTTCCCCACCTTCCCATATATATCTGGAACCTATGACATATCTCATCTCATATTTCATCTCATCTCTGATTTTTGTTTTTGTTTCTGCACAGTATCACTGCCACTGAAACATGGTACAACACAGCTAAAGCATTCCTCTGAGGTTAGCCAAAATCTAATGCACCCCTGCTGGGCACTGCTCAGCCCCTGACACGTGAGCACACCTGCACACAGCTCACAGCCCAGCCAGGCTTCCCCAAATAGATGCAGAGGGCTCATGTTGTGGAGACAAGCCCACGCAGAATTTCTCCCCTTGGCCAGCCTCATCAGAGGACCAGGCC